GTTGGTCAGGCTGGTCTTGAACTCCCGACCTCAGGTGATCTACCCACCTGGCCTCCAAAGTAGTTGGATTACAGGTGTTAGCCATCACACCCGCTGGAGCTGAGTTTTTAAAAAGAGATACTGTATTCTGTATTTTTAATATTTAGTGTCCGAGCTGAACTTGTCAGAATGTGTTTTAAAATTTCCTCCTGAATACCTAAAAAGTGACAGATTCTTTTGATGCTGTAAAGAGCAAAGAAAGCTCTTTGGTGAGCATTTGACAACTACATAGGCTGGGGTTGTCACTGATAAACAACGCTCCTCGTTTATCCCTCCATCAGATGATGGGCGTTTAGTTTTCCTCCACTTTTTGGCGATTAGTGATAGCTGACTGTGATCATTATTGTAGACGTTTCTGTGGGCAGATATTTCTGTTTCTCTTTAATACACGTGTGAAAGTTTAAGTACAAATTTTTAAATTTTAATGAAGTCCAATTTATATACACTTCACAAATTGTGCTGTTGATGTCACATCTAAGAAATCCTTGGTTACTTCAATGTCACGAAGATGAAGTTTTCTAGGAATTGCTTAGTTTTAGCTCTTAGGTGTACGATCTCTTTTGACTTAATTTTTGTATGTGATGTGAGGTAGAGTTTATACACATTTTAAACTCAAATATTTACTTATATGTGGTTGTCTAATTGTATCAGAATTCATCCAGATCTCTTAATTGTCTCTTGCTCTGTACTGGTATTTCTTGGTGGGTTTACTTTCTACTAGTAGTACACAATTAAAGTTGATTCTCATCAGTTTATGTCGTGGTTTGCTTTGTAATTATCAGTATTCTTGTAAATATGGTTCAGGATTTGCCTTGAGAGTCCTCCCACATGTGTGTAAAACCTTATGGGCTTCTTTGTTTAATTCTGGAATATGACAATTTCATGGATAAAATAATATATTTTTTGTCACAAACCACTTTAAGATTCAAGAGAAGTATAATGGAACTTCCCTGTTTCCTTAGAAGGACTCTGCAAGTCCAGGACTGGCCAGTACCTTTGCTGTCACTCAGAGCCTGCTTCCTGTCAGTTTTCCTTGGGTCTGTCAAGCTGTTTCTCAGCAGATTCAGAAGCCTGAGGGGCTCCTGGGGAACAGCACAATTGGCCGAATTCCCCACTTGGCTGCTGGGCTCACTTTTGCATGTGTGTGTTGGAGTTAATACTGGGATAGCCGATAGTCTCAGGAAGGGTGAAGTGATAGTCCACATTCTTTAAGGAGGACAGTCTAGAAATGGGGCTTTAAAAAATTAAAATTGTCACAGTTGTCTAGTTATCTGTAAAATTTATTTCACCAAAACACATCTTCATATATTTTCTTTTTTCCCTTCATCTTCGTATATTTTCTTTATTCCTTTATTTGTTTTCTTTAATGACAGAGTCTCACACTGTTGCCTAGGCTGGAGTGCAGTAATGAGATCTCAGCTCACTGCAATTCATTTATTTACCTAACAGAAAATAATTATCAAGGTAACTTTTTTTTTTTTTTTTTTTTTTTTGGAGACAGAGTCTTGTTCTGTTGCCTAGGCTGGAATGCAGTGGCTCCATCTCTGCTCACTGCAACCTCCGCCTCCTAGGTTCAAACGATTCTTGTGTCTCAGGCTCTTAAGTGGCTGGGATTACAGGTGCACACCACCACACCTGACTAATTTTTGTATTTATTAAAGATTGGGTTTCACCATGTTGGCCAGGCTGGTCTCGAACTTCTGACCTCAGGTGATCTGCTGGCCTCAGCCTTCCAAAATGCTACCATTATAGGAATGAGGCACCACACCTGGCTGGTAACATTTCTTTAACTTGTTAGGGTGCTACTTTTATAATAAGAGCAAATGGTGAAAGTGTGTTTTTGAAATCTGCTTTCCTCTCTTATTCTTACTTATTCTAAGTGATGAAGGTGGTATCATCTGCAGGGCTGAAGCTGGCTGGTGAACTCGACCCTCACTCATCCAGTGAGCCGACTCCTTGTGTCTGCTAGCAGTAGATACAGAGTGAGGGGCTTGGGCTTTGTGTTCAAGTAACCTTACCAACTCTTGCCAGGGTAAGCTTACTTCTGATACTGAGTTTAAGGGTTTGTACATACAATCATTGTAGCCTCTAGATGAATTGATCTTCTTTGCATTATGGGGTTTTTCCACATACTTAACACACTCTACATACTTGGCTTTTTAGAGGCAGTTCAGGGTTTTGTTAAATTGCTATGTGTTGAGGACCGCAGGTGTTTAGGACTCTCCTGTTGCTGTTTATAGACTGCTTCCTTGCACATACAGTCTTTACTTGGTCAAAAGTGGTTAGATATTTGCTCTTTGCAAATGTTCCTACCAGTTGATAGTATGCCTGGGTATGGATGAATAGTTTCTCGTGGACTTCCAGTATTGTGTTCCTCACTGTTGCTCTACAGCTGTGAGGCAGCTAGAGTGGTAAAGCTTACCTTTTCATGGAAGACTACTTAATTTGATGCCTTGTTGTTGGATCTTAGTTTAAAACCTGGCCCCCTCAGAAATAGGTTCCTTTACTATTTTCTGCAGACAGTGCTTCTCTGTAGTTGCATTTATTTGCAAACTGGAGAGTGTTTATTCTGAGATAGAATAGCTGAATGTCATAAAAGTTCTCTCCCCTACCCAGAGAACTTGCCTTAGTCATGTGTGAGCTTTCTTAGTTTGCTTTAACTGTTGCTGTGGTGAGATCAGTGTAAATCAATATGGTCATATTACCAGTAGAAATTGAAACAACTAACAAAAGCTGGTGTTTTGAACTTGATTTTCATCTTAATAAGCATTTTAATAGTAAATCTTGTGATGATCTGTAGGACATAGTTTGTTCTTTTACTACCCAATGTTGTACTATGGTTTTCTCCCATGTTGTTAAGTAATATTAAATATTATTAATCAAGTGAATGTACCTTGTGTTTTGTTTAACCACTGTTTTTCTATTATTGGCTCTTTGTAATTTTGCAAGTATATAATTTTGTGCTGACATATATTAGGCATGAATTTGGGGTGGTGCAGCCAGGGTTTATCTTCTTAGGCTGAATTCCTAGAGCCAGAATTTCAGACTTGGAGGGATAAACCTGCAGTCACTGCTCAGACTTTGTTTTTATGGAGGCTGTGTTTCCTTCAACAGGAGATCCCTTCCTGCCTCTAAGATTGCAGGTTCATTTCTTCATTGGTGCAGATCTGATCTCTAGTTTGGCTGCCGTACTTAATTGTCTCTCCAGTCCTCATATTGGAGCCAGAAGCTTATTTTACATCCCAACTCCTTTAGCAAGAAGCCCTCTTAAAAGATTCTTCATACAGAATCCTGTGCACAGCATGATTGCAACTCTGTAGACATGCTAATGTGTAAGAACTTGCTTCATAGCCAGGAGCGGTGGCTCACGCATGTAATCCCAGCACTTTGGGAGGCCGAGGTGGGTGGATCATGAAGTCAGAAGTTCAAGACCAGCTTGGCCAACATGGTGAAACACCCCATCTGTACTAAAAATACAAAAATTAGCTGACCTGTAATCCCAGCTACTAGGGAGGCTTAGGCAAGAGAATTGCTTGAACTGGGACCTGGGAGGCCGAGGTTGCAGTGAGCCCAGATCGCTTCACAACAGACAAAACAGAAGATCTGTGCGGGGTAGGATTGTAGGCCACTTCCCCTTTTGTTCTGAAAATTTTCTGTAATGTTCTTTTCTTTTTATTATGATTTTTTAAAGGGGAGGGCATCCCTAAATTGACTGGAATAAATGAAACAGAACAAGCTCCTGAGAACACCTTTGTGAGCAGAGTGCTGATTATCTACTGATGCAGCTCATGAAAAAAACAATTTACCTTGCTCTATAGCAGGTGAGAGGGGAGAGAAGTCAGCCTTTGCATGAGGTGTGCTGCTCAGGTGCTTGAATGCCTCTCCCTCCCCACTGAGACCTGGGTGTTCTCGGGTGCAGGCAGAGGGTAGTGTTTGCTCTGCAGAAGCTGCTCAGGGTGCACTGGAAGGCACCTAAGGAGGCCCGTTGGCAGGGGCATGGTGTCCTGTGATAACTCCAAACAGGCAGAGAAAATGAGTTATTCACAGTGAAATTCTCCGGAACTTTTGAGTTTGCTGCCTTTTTGAAAAGGATTGTAGGGGACACGGTTTCCCTCTCTCTCATAGGCTGAACTACAATGGCATGACCTTGACTCACTGTAGCCTTGACCTCCTAGACTCAGGGAATGTTCCTGCCTCAGTTTCCTGAGTAGCTGGGATATGCCACCATGCCCAGCTACCTTTCATTTCTTTTTTTTTTTTTTTTTAAAGTAGAAACAGGGTCTGTGTTGCCCAGGCTGGTCTGAAACTCATTGACTCAGGGGATCCTCCTGCCTCAGCCTCCCAAAGGGCTAGGATTACATGCATGAACCACTGCCCCCAGCCCTTTTTTGCAATTTGACATAAAAATAACCTTTTTTCCTCTTATAAAATGACTATTACAGCTCATAGGCCATTTACTAGCTCGTTAGTCATTCTTTTATGTCAACCAAAGCTGCATGTAACCCACACTTTTCATACTGCAGCAGTATAACTTGAAGGTTTACAAATTAATGTCCTAGGATCTTAGACCTTAGAGCAAATGCAGAGACAAGAATGATGTTTGATTTGGGTTTGCCTCAAGTTTGCAAATTTTATGAAAGATCCCAGGTTGAAATGAGATGGGCTTGCTTCAGCCTTTGGAAAAGAAAACACTCTGGGCATATAGAGCCCACTCCACTTTACTTAAAGAAATTTAGAACTGATGTAAATGAGCTGTTAACCTCTATTTTCATCCATCAGGCTTCCTTGAAATGTGCCTTGGTCGTATGTACATGTTGTAATTATTGCTGGCGTTCTTTGTTGTTGCTGTGTAAGAGTTGAGCAGATGGTCATCCGCTTCGTGGAAAAGAACCTGACTGGAGCAACAATGGGAAATGCAGATTGGGAGCTTTGTTGACATTGGTCTGATTTTTCCCCTGTAGGAGAACTCCGACACATCACCAAGCTGAAGCCCTGGAGCCTCTTTGATGTACTTGTGGAAAAGTATGGCTGGCCCCATGAAGATGCTGCACAGTTTACAGATTTCCTGATCCCGATGTTAGAAATGGTTCCAGAAAAACGAGCCTCAGCTGGTGAATGCCTTCGGCATCCTTGGTTGAATTCTTAGCAAATTCTACCAATACTACATTCTGAGCTAGCAAATGTTCCCAGTACATTGGACCTAAACGGTGACTCTCATTCTTTAACAGGATTACAAGTGAGCTGGCTTCATCCTCAGACCTTTATTTTGCTTTGAGGTACTGTTGTTTGACATTTTGCTTTTTGTGCACTGTGATCCTGGGGAAGGGTAGTCTTTTGTCTTCAGCTAAGTAGTTTACTGACCATTTTCTTCTGGAAACAATAACATGTCTCTAAGCATTGTTTCTTGTGTTGTGTGACATTGAAATGTCATTTTTTTGAATGAAAAATACTTTCCCCTTTGTGTTTTGGCAGGTTTTGTAACTATTTATGAAGAAATATTTTAGCTGAGTACTATATAATTTACAATCTTAAGAAATTATCAAGTTGGAACCAAGAAATAGCAAGGAAATGTACAATTTTATCTTCTCGCAAAGGGACATCATTCCTGTATTATAGTGTATGTAAATGCACCCTGTAAATGTTACTTTCCATTAAATATGGGAGGGGGACTCAAATTTTAGAAAAGCTACTAAGTCTTGAGTGCTTTGTAGCCTGTGTTGCATGTAGCAGACTTTAACTGCTCCAAGGAGTTGTGCAGACTTTTCATTCCATAACAGTCCTTTCACATTGGATTTTAAACAAAGTGGCTCTGGGTTGTAAGGTGTCATTCTCTGTATGGCACTTGAAAAGAAGAAAAGATACGCTTCTCATTTTAAAATATGCATTATAATTTAGCAGTCCCATTTGTATTTTTGCATATTTTTGAAAGTACTTTTAAAGAAAAAGAGCGATTTCCCTTTAAAAATGTGATGGCTCAGTACCGTGTCATGTTGTCTCCTCTGGGCGCTGTAAGTTAAGCTCTACGTAGATTAAATTGGAAAAGAGAAACGTGTGCATTTTGTGGAATGAAAAAATACATATATTTTTGGAAAAGCATGATCATGCTTGTCTAGACCACAAGGTATGATATATACAATTAGCAGTGCAGTGGGCAGAATACTCCTTAAAGCTAGAAGGTAACAGTGATCACATTCATTCCATAGGTAGCTTTATGTGTGGCTACAACAAATTTTACTAGCCTTTCATTGTCTTTTCCAGGAAATGAAGTTGAGAAAATGATTTTCCCTTTGCAGGTTGCACACAGTTTTGTTTATGCATTTCCTCCTTAAAATTAATTGTAGAATCCAGGACACAAACCATAGTAGGCAATACAATTTTAGAATGTAATATATAGAGGTATATTTAGCCTCTTTTAGAAGTCAGTGGATTGAATGTCTTTTTATTTTAAATTTTACATCATTAAGGTGCCTCGTTTTTGACTTTGTCCAATTAACATTTATCCATATGCCTTTGCAATAACTAGATTGTGAAAAGCTAACAAGTGTTGTAACAATAATCCATTGTTTGAGGTGCTTGCAGTTGTCTTAAAAATTAAAGTGTGTTGGGTTTTTTTTCCAGACATTGCCTTGGTCATTGCCCTGTAAGTGATAGAATCAATGAACAGTTGCTATCAGTTTAAGTGTCACCAAAACTAAATACCAGCATTCCTGTTGCAGCAAATGTAGAACATGCATTAAGGCTTATTATAAGGAAATTATTTGTTATTTTTTAAGGGCAGAAGGGATTTAGGAGAAAAGCTACAGTATAGATTGATTACCCAGAATTTCAATGATCCCTTTTCATCCATGGTTCATCAGAAACATACTAACTGCATTTGTTTGGTCATTGATTGCAAACGTAAAAGGGCATTCCCTGTTAGGGAACAAGACACATAACCCGCTTAGGAATTGCCATTATATCACATACCACTGTGAGGTAGAATGTACCATTTGTTCATTTCTTTATAGAATGTGCATGCTAAGTTTTTCTAATGAGGCTGTAGGTTTCCATGTAGATTCTATGATAGATGGTGGCTGTAGACTGGTGATACTATCCATGATTTCTGTAGGAAACATCCTTACAACAACCATAGAGCACAATTCATATCTTCCCTAAGTGTAAAAGGATTTTTATCAGGGTGATAGTATACTTGAATGAAATTTGTCTAATGCAGTTTTTGCTCATGCTGGAAAATAACAACTAGATTATGAATTTTTAGGGGTGTGTCTCTTATGATAAAACAGGCCAACTGGTTTATAACACAGAAACAATTGTTCTAGAAGGAATATATATTTGTATTAGGCATAATATGGTTTTATCAGATTCTTGGTGGTTTGTTGATAAAGAATGCACAAAAACTAAATGAGAACCACTGGTTATGCTAAACATTATGACCAGCTCTGACTTTAGTTGAATGTCCTATTTTTTCCTTTCTGTAGTCCATGTGAAATCTTCATGGAAAATGGCAAGCAGTGGATCACATATGTGATTATAGCAGATACAGGAGCTGGCTATCTGGAAATTGGCAGACAGAACTGCCCAAAGGCAGAGCAAAGGTGGATATAAGATCTTCAAAAAGTTATAAAGTTTTTAGGTGAAAATTGGTATACTAACTTGCTTCTTCCCATGACCTGGACCATACATAACTAGTTACCAGGATAAAATAAGGAAAGTTTCCATTGGAGTAGAGAATTTCAGTTTGTATCCATAGTTCAGATTATTTCCTAAATTCCACTTTCTTCTTCCCTTTTAAATAACTTGAATGAAATTTTGGTAGAAGACCGTATTTTAGGGTATATACTTCATCAAGGAATCAAATTATTTAAGAATCAGATTCTGCAGTTAACACAAAAGCTTCTATATGCATATTTTCTGTAAGAGGCAAATTTCAAACCAGTAAAGAATTTAAAATACGTAGAAGGACAGACCTTTTAAGAAGAATATTTATATTTCACATGCTAGTTAACTTTATTCTTTTTGAACTATCAGGATAGATGATGTAAAGCCATTCTTCTCAGACGACAACTGTTTCTTTACTCTTTACTAAATACCATAAATAGAATTTTGTTTTGACAAATGGAGGATGGCAGAGTTGACCTGTGTTCTTCTAAAACCTGAAGCTGATTAGGATTGAGCCCTAAATGAGCTGTGTTAATGTACCATCATTAGCTAATTTTCAAAAGGAAATGGAAATTCGAAGTGTAAAACAGGAGTGAATGAGATCAGTCATTTTAGTGTTTACTTTTTTCCGATGCACAAAATTTATAGTCTTGTACCAGATTATGCCAGGTAACTGGATGATGAAAAATGTGTTGACACACAGTGTTACTACTATTTGATGTACTTACTGAATGCTCCTCAGAGGTAGAAGACAAAGGCTAAAAGAAATTTTAATTTTCCCAGGATTATAACTAGTATTTTATATTTTAGCAACAATAAAAAGGTATCACTTAAGAGGCCATTTTCATTTCACTGACAGATCTAGGAAAAATGCCTTTTTTCTTCAGTTTTGTATACCCAACACAAGTTTTCCTGTTTTAGGCAAACTACCCATATTTTCAAACAGTTGTTGTACACTGTATTCAAGAACTACTGTGTGTAATGCATTAGCAGTTTAGATTCATTTTGTATGATGCCAGATCCTTAATTTACCCAGCACAATCATTTAAGTAGTTTCTATGGCTCCTGCACAAATGGCAAACAGGAACCACCACAGGAACAACCCCCTTGCTGCCTCCGGTTAGTAGTCACTACAGAAAACTGAAGGCTTCTTACAAACTCTATTTGAAATCTGTAACTTCTATAGAAACACTTACACAGACCCTGAACTTAGAAGTTGTACAGGACAATTTGGTAAAACTGACATAATTGTGATTTATTAACATGAATTAAAATGCCCAACCAGTGCTTCAATGTGACAGTATATTTAAAACAAAAAAGAAATTAAAGGTCATATACTGTACTACTTTCACAAAGATCACACAGTTTTGCAAAAGACTTGTCATATGTACAATGCTATATATCAAATGAGAAAAGCTGTAAGCAATTATATACGCAAAAGAAATGCAGTATTTACAGTTTGTCAGGAGACATTAGAAATCATCTATACATTAAATTACATTTTGCTTGCAAATAACTGGTAAAACAAAATGAGCCATGTCCACACCAAAATATGAAAATCTGTATTGCATTTTTATACCTAAGGTGCATTCGCAGAACTGCTGACAGGAAAGAAAAAAAGAAAAAGAAAATCCTCATAGTGCCATTACTTAGCTGTGTACTTAATGCATATGTATAAAATAATAGAGAAAACATTCACTAAATGAATTTAACTGCAACAATAAAATTTTAAGATCATACAGCATTGAATCTACTGCCAGAAAAAACAGCTGGAATGTTCATTTACAAAATAAAGATACCTAATACTGGCTTAACAGCACATTTTTAAAGGAATTTTAAAAAGCAAAAATGAGAAAAATACAATGAAAGAGCACTGGTGTATTTTTATACAAAGGTTCATGTACAAGCTTTAAAAAGTACCTTAACAGGTACATATGAAATATACAGTCTATCTTACAGAACATTTAAAAAAATGTTTTTGGAGTCCATTTTAATGCCACCCTGATCCATGGTAATTGTTTTGAAATGTTGGTGGCACCTGTGCTCTGTGAATTGGAATCTGTCCAGGCACCGGAGATGCCTGCTGAGGTCCTTGAACCCCGTGTGGCAGGGCCACAGAGCCAGGATGAGGACAGAACCCTGAAGCAGAAGGTGTTGGAATACTGTTTGGTCCTTGGGGCTGGAGATGAGGACCTGCAACAGGTAATGGACAATGTGGCCCTGTTCCAGAAGGCTGGTGCTGGGGTCCCGGTCCCAACGTGTTATGATGTGTAGCTTGTGAGGGATACGGAGGTACAGCTGGATGAGCACTTGAAGGAAAAAGTGGAGGTCCTTGATGAGGTGGGTGGTGTAAGGCTTGAGCTGATGTGGTATGATGCCCAGAAGCCAAAACACTGGAAGGTGGCGGCGGAGGGGGAGGTGGGGGTGCTGAATTTACAACATGCTGGTGTTGTGCTTGTAGACCTTGGAGTCCTGTGGAAGGATGGGGCGGTGGATGGTGATGAGGGGCGGGAGGGGGTGGGGGTGGGGGTAAGTGGTGTCCAGCAGTTTGAGAATGAATATGCGAGCCAGGGGTGACCGCATGAACAGGCCCTACTACATGTGCTACAGAGTGTTGCTGATGGGAATTCGGCTGTTGTACAAGGTGTGGTCCTGGAGCAGGCGGCGGCGGTGGTGGTGGGGGGACTACGGCAGCAGCAGCAGTTTGATGGTGAATGGTGGGGTTCTGAGAGGGCAAAAAGTGCCCTGGAGTAAGGTGTCCTGGAACTGTTTGTTGGCTTGTGGTGCCAGGAAGTGCTTGATTTGGTCCTGATGTAAACACAGTTTGTTGAGAAAGACTACCTTTGAGCTGATTATAATTCTGAAAGTTAGCAGAGGGCTGCTGGTTTTGATAGTAAGATGAAGAAGAAGGGGGTGGAGGGGGTGGAGGGGGCGGTGCCGTGCTATTCAGACTTTGTTGGTTAAACTGACTGTATGTTGCTGAAGATTGTCCTGAGGGTGTCTGTGTAAATAATGCTCCAGAAGTTGCCTGCTGAGTATTGGCTGGAAGGTTCTGTGCTGCTGGATAAAAGTTTCTCTGAGGCTCTCGCTGAGGTGTTCCAACTTGAGGTGACTGTGAATGATGAGGCCTGTAGGGAGATCCTAACTGCTGTGAAGGAGGCTTTGGTGAAAGATAACCATGCTGTACAGGTGTGTGAGGCGTAGATGACTTTGGAGGATTTTCTAGGTGAGGTGATAGAGGACAGTGCAACTTCGTTGGTGCAGAAGGCAGTTTCTGTGAAAGTTGCTCAGATGAATTACGAACGTGTGTCTGAGGAGGATGATTCTTTGAAAGTGCTTGGCTGTTATTGGATAGCTGTTTTTGTTGGAGCTCTGTTTTTAGGTGAACGCCATTTTCAGCTTCTGATGCAGTAACTGTGGTGTCCCATTGGGGATCCGGTTTTGTGAGTATTTTTCCGTGTGCTTGAGCAGGAATTACAGATCCAGGTGAACCAGGCTATGAAGAGAAAACAAATTATATACATATAAGGAACATTTTGTGTACTTTAAGGTTTAGTCTTATTGGTATTTAATACGATCTAAATATTAATTTTAATGTGGGGTAGGAAATAACATGCCAGATAGGTCAATTATGGAGGCTTAGGAAGTTAAAAGGCCAATATTTTTCCATTGTTCCAACAAGTTCTGAGAGTATGCTTAAAGTGAATTCTCCGGGTTAATTTTTATTGAAGATAAGTTGAGGACATAATTTACTCTGCCTTTTTTTCCCTTAAGCAATGAAACCTGTTTTTGAGCCTTACTCTGAAAGAACTCCAATGGCAATTTTCAATTTTATAATTGAAATTTCTATACCCAACCTAAGGATAAATTGATGTGGGTAAATAAACTTGCTCCCTCAACCCGTTTTGATTTTTAATACCTTTTCATTTTCCTTATATACTGTTCAGATATAAATAAACCAAGGATAAGACTGCCTAAATGTCTATCATCATAAAAAGATAAATCTCAGATTCCTTTTCTTTAGTTTCCAGTGATATACATGCCATACTAGATTATTACATCTTCATGATCCAGGATGGAGACGTCATTCCTTTTAAATGATAAAATGACCTTTTGTTTTTACATAATTGGCTGGTCAAGAATTTCACGACAAGGCTATGAATTTCCTAGACACCACTAGAATAGAGGTGGAACATGAGAAGAAAACATAAGCTGTTCAAGTGTGCTTAGAAAATGTGTTTGGTCAGAGTTAATCCATCACAGTTCAGGAAGACAGAACAAAGAAAGTAGTAAACACAATTGAGTACGTCTGACAGGAAACTGTGCAGAAGTCACACACTGATACTCGCTACAGCAGAAAAACACTGTATGTTGTAACCAGCAGCTTTTCTGCACTCAACCTGAGGTCCTGTGGAACCCATCAAAAGGTCAATGTTATCATTACCTTGCTCATTTTTGAAGGACTTTTACAAGTATTTTGAGAAGTATCTGGGGATGGACATTCATTTATAGTTGCAGGTGGTTCTGGATTTTCAGGATCAGGGTCTATAAAGCAGAAGAAACCTATAGTAAGTGTAAAATTACATGATAAAACATGG